GGAAGATCATTGTTGTCTAAACCAGACATCAACAATGGGAGAAATTCATGTAAAGTTGATTTAAGTCCTTAATATAACACCCAATATGATATATTAAGGCTAGGACCCAACAAACTATTTTATAACTTGGAAGAGGGATGCCGTAATCCAAGCTATAAAATATTTGAAGGTAGGTGAATGACGATTCACCAATTTCCACCAAGATAAACGAAATGTATTATTAGGTTTTAATTGGTTTTGAAACTCCTATATTCTTTTGAGATTCATTGAACTTTTCAATGGCATGTTTCAATCTCGAGTGTGCCCTTCAGGTTTTGTGACTGGGATGCCGAGGATCACAAAACAAGGTGTGAAGTAACCATGCAAATATACTTGGTACCCTTAATATTTACCCCTCAATCGATGTGCCGGTTAACCACACACGCTCCAACGATACTATGATAAACATTAAGTTACCCTTTGCCTACCTTGTTAAGTCCAGGTTAGTGTGCCGGTTAACCACACACGCTCCACTAACAGCTTAAACAAAGTGCAAAGTGTAATTTCATGGATTAGCACCTTATTCACATTTTCCTAAGTAACTAAGATTGGGAATTTATAAAAAGTTTAGTTACTTAGTATTTATCATTAATACTTTTAATGAAGGGAGAATTATAGTCCTTGTCCTACCTGTTCGGCTAACGACCCTCCACCAGTCAAGGAAGCGGTGGGTGAGAGTGGACACCCATTAAACTGCCATTTTATAGGCAGTAACCTTATACCCCCCTTATAGACCGGCTTCGTGAATGAGGCCTACTAATGGTAAGACGACTTGCTCTTATACATATAATATATTAAACTTTTAATATTATAATAGTATAAGGGTGTATTTTAGACATTTAAAATACTTGGTGGTTTAATCTATTAATTAAACTATACTCTTAATTTAATTAAATTTAAACCATGTCATTATGGAATTATTAATTATCTTTTAATTAAACACTTTAATTATCTATTAATAAAGTCCATAAGAGTTAATTGAATTATTCAATAAAAACATCATAATTCCAATTATTAAATTCAAAATTAAAACCATTTAATTAATTGTTTAAAATTCAAAATTAAAACCATTTAATTAATTGTTTAAGTTATGAACCCAAGAGTTTTAGAATTCAATTCTTTTTTTTATCATAAAAACTTTTTCCAAATTCCAAAACTTGAGGGCAAGTTTTGTAACTCTTGAAAACTTTTGGATTCCATAACTTATGGAGTTAAATACTTGTTTTATGATGAAACTTTTCATGTTCCATAACTTAAGAACAAGTTATGGAATTCTTTAAAACATTAAGACCAAGTTTTGTAACTCCATAAAAACTTTGAATCAATTTTTTTAAAAACCTTTTCATATCCATAACTTATGGAGGTTTCAAAAAACTCTTTAGATCAAACTTTTAAAACTAATAAAATAATCATATCATTTTATCTTGTACTAAATTTGACCTAATTCAACTCATATAGCAAATGATTCAAATTTTACAAATAATTAGTTTTTCACAAAAACAAGTAATTATCTTAAAATTTGACAAACGTCATGTTTTTTTTTCTTTTTTTTCCAACTTTAAAAATAAAACATTTGCATCAATATAACAGAAAACAACCTGGCTCTGATACTACTGTTGGGTTTTGAGCATTCTAACACTCCTATGGTGTACATGCAACCCTAAAAACCTTGGATCTATGTTTTCTCTATTATACATGCAAATATTAACTATTCCAAGGTTTCATCCTAACTAGCATATTATGAAGCACTTGTACTATAAAGTTCTAGTTAGATGACATACCTTTTGATGTAGCTTGATGTCTTCAAGCTTTAAGAGCTTAGCCCCAATAGTGTGGAAGCCTCAAATGGAATCACAAATCACCAAAACACCTTAGAAGAACTTGAGAGAATATGTATGCACACTAAAATCGGCCCACTCTTATTTTCACACACTTGTCCCAATTTTGTGAGCCAAGGACCCCTTTATATATTATGGAGGATTAGGGTTACATCCATGTAAACCCTAATACCCATGACCTTTCATTTACATAGGATCCATGGGTTAAAAGCTCCATGGACCATCCATGAAAGCTTAGCCCAACCTAAATGAATTTGGCCCATTCCATATATATATATAAGAGTCCATATTTAATTAGTTCTTTTTTATCACTTAATTAATTCTAAATTAATTCTTGATCAATACTAACTAAATAATATGATTCCATATTAATATATTAGAACTTATAATCTATTAATAAACCATAAATAACCTTCTCTCAAAAGTCCATCCTAACAAATTGTCGTGATGATATACAACCCAAATGGACCATGCTACTCTCGGGTCAAGTACATACCAATAATAGTTATGGGCTTAGACATCTAATCCAACAAGAAGTTCATGGGAAGCACGGAGATAGTACTCAGGACGACCGAGTTGATACAGCAGGTTAGGTAGAGATTGTTGACGGCTCAGAGCCGCCAGAAGAGTTTTGCGAATCGGCGACGCTCTGAGCTAGATTTCCAGGTGGGGGATTTAGTGATTATGAAGGTGTCACCTTGGAAGGGTGTTATCCGCTTCAGGAAGCGGGGCAAGCTAGGCCTCAGGTTTTTTTTTGTAATTTCCGAGTTTTGGCCCGTGTAGGCAAGGTGGCTTACTGGTTAGAGATACCAGAGGAGTTCAGACAAATTTATGATAGCTTCCATGTTTCCCAGCTAAGGAAGTGTATAGCTAATAAGACAGTTGGGGTCCCTTTGGAGGACATTCAGATCGATGATCGCTTGAACTACGTTGAGCAGCCTATATCAATTATGGATCGGAAGGTGAAGACCTTGAGGAACAAGGTAGTGAACTTGGTCAAAGTTCAGTGGCAACATCGGAAAGGATCGAAGTGGACGTGGGAGCCCGACTCCAAGATGCGTGAGCACTATCCTGAGCTGTTCCTTGAGAATGACTTCGAGGGCGAAGTCTGATTCTAGTGGGGAAGAATTGTAACATCCCAATATCAGGTATTATTATTATTTCCCTTATCCTTATTAAAAGTTGCACAATTGTTCCCTTGAGAGGAAAGTCTTTGCATTGTGGTCGTAGGTTGGGCATACTGAGAGTACGCACGTCATACTCATGTCTTGTGGAAACGCGAATGATCTGCTAGTACGCAGGGCGTACGTGTGGTACGCCGGGGGTACTAGCCTAAACTCCAAACCCTAATTTTAAGGGTTGCTCCCTATTTAAACAACTTTATATCCACTTTGGACTATCTTTATCAACCATCATTCCCTCCTTCAATCCTAATCTCGATTCTAAGCTTGTTAGTGAGAGTTTGGGAGATTATTAAGAGTTTTTGGTGCATATTGTTGAAGAAGGAGGCTAGAGAAGAAGGAGTTGTTGTTTGCAAGCTTGGAGATCTAGAAACCACTCCTCATTGTGCATCTTTTTCAAGTATAAATCTTATATCTTGATGAGTTTTCTATTTGACCTCCATGGATGAGATATAGGAGCTTTTTGTCCCCAAGTTTGGATCTTTATGAGTTTGGAGTACCCTAGGGAATATTAGTTGTCCTTTCATGCATTTTAGGACTTTTAGATTCATAAAAATGGTTACTTGATCATTTCCTTTGGACCATGCATGATTATAGTGTCATTTAGGGTTTGTTGCATAGGGTCATTTTTAGCCATGCAAAGGCTTAAAATCGACAACTTTATGGATTAAGGCACTCGAGGATGGTCAGATATGAATTTTGGTTAGATGTCTTAGCGGATTAAGACACAAAGTTGGTGAAAATGGAATCAGACAGAGTACACTGAGCGTACTCCTGGCTACCCCCCCCCCCCCATAGCCGGTTCCGTCCCCGATTAGATGTTGATTGCGGTGTATGCCCCGTGTAAGGAAGAGTACGCATAGCGTACACGCTGGGCAGTTGACTTTCTTTGACTTTTGACTTTTTGTCAAGATTTAGGGTTTTGGACCACCAGAAGGGTAAAATTGTCTTTTTTCCCTAAGTAATTAGTTGTGGGATTTGGACTTGCAAGTTGAACTTTAGAACTTAAATATTAATTAGGGTTAATTCTTTCATTTACTAGGCGAAGTCTAGTTCCGGCAGTTCAGGTGTGAGATTTACTTGTCGTCAGTATCCGGTGAGTCTCCTCCCTTATTCTTACATGTGTGGTAAAATAGTTGTATCTGTGATGACCAGCAGGGTTTGCTGTTATTCTGTACTATGTTGTTATGTGTGACTGGGACTGCAGATAGTCTCCGGGTTTGCTAATAACCCATAGGGTATGTTGTTGCTCACCGGGACTGCTGATAGTCCCTAGGGTTGTTGATAACCCATAAATGTTTATTCATGTTGTGTTATATGTGGTATCTTAGGGAACTCACTAAGCTTCATGCTTACAGTTGTTGATTTATGTGTTTCAGGTACTTCTGAGGACCGCGAGAAGGCGCAGGTCTGATTGTACACACTCGATGGGAGGATTGCTACTGGGACAGTTTGAGAAACTCTGATATTTTGTGATAATGGTTGTTTTGGATAATTATGTGTTTGATAACTTGGTTGTGAAACTTGTTTTTGGTAAATTTTAAAATGAAAAATTTGGTCTATGATTTGAGGTGTTACACTATTCAAGAAATAAACAATGTGATTATGATGTTTTCGGCTTATTTCAGACTTGTGTTGCTGTAAATCATTGTTTAAGTATATCTATTCCTGGGAGTAAGATCCGTTTAACGGAAAAAAGGATGGGTGTCGAATAGGATTAACGTTACCTCACAAATGGCATACCAAAATCATGGGTTTTGTGGTATTTGGTGTGTTTTTCGAATGGGGTTGGAGATATGTTTGTCCTCACATCATCTTCATACTTGTAAATGATGGAAATGTTATTCTTAAGTCAGAGGTTAATCGTATCAAGGCAATAGAAACAACAGAGAATGGGGGGAATGTGTGAATTAGCTATATGTCGTTAGGTTTCTTTCAGAAAATGTATCATGATCTTCAACCTCAATATTGGTCTCATATTCAAGGTAATCTTAAGATGACTATAAGCTTAACAGATGGCACACAGTCTATAAGAAGTGGGGAACATGTTATCTACAAAGAAGATGTCCAACAAATTAAAATTTCTATCACTAATTACGGGAACATCGTGCATGTCGATGATGAGGATCTTGGATATGATGAAATTATCTTTTGCAACACTTACATGTATGAAGAAAAGTTTGATGAGGAGGCCTTGATGCCTTTAAGAAGTAGAACCTCGGTAGGGTGCAACAAGAGGTACCTAGTTTGGATCACCACCTTATATGGACCTCGATGAAATATTCTTAGTATAGGGCCAAACTAAGATAACTTTTTGGGGAAATTTTATATATGTCCTTGCAAAAATTAAGTATTACGTATATCCTTTCAAAGTACATAATTACATATATCCTTCTTAACCTATTGAACTCATATTTATATCCAAAATTATATTTTAATTAGGTTTAAATCAACTTAATATTAATTATTTTATCTAAAATTAAAAAAAATACATGTGATATTACTAAAATAGCCTTCTTGAATTGAATATTAAAATTAAATTATTTTATTTGGTTGATTGTCGTCGTCATCAACGGGTAATATAGCACCCCCCGTGTCGCTCCTATTACACCCTCCCAAAGCTGCCCTTTGTTCTAGTCATAGATTCGTATTCTCATCCCAATTTAACAATTCTTAACCACAATCCATCATACAATATGTTTTTTTCTCCCTCACTTCGAATCAGGGTATAGAGCTTTAGAAATTTTTTTTGTTAGATCGAAGAGAAAGGTTTAGATGTGGATACAATGGAAAAAATTGGTAAATACATGTGTAAAAGGCCAAAGGGAACTGAAATTGCTGAATCTATATGCCCAAGAATCATTATGGAGTGACATTGCTAATAATATATGATCATATAGGGTCACACCTTTATCAAGTTTCCACATTTTGTATATTTGTTATTAATGTGATTATTAATAAATAATATTAATTCTTGTATTTTAATTAGGAAGTAATTATGTTTTATGAAAATAATAATTATAAGAGAATATAACTAGTTATTATTTCATATGGTATGAATTCATAAGTCGTGCACAACCTTTTGGACTAGTTGAATTCTTTTGTCTTTTACCTTAAGACAAAGTTTATTTTTTATAAAATTAGAGTTTATAAAATTTAAAGAATCTTTCTTTTCTTTAAAGGTATGGCTGAAAATGGTGTAAGAGGCATGGAGAAGCTTCACTTTTTGAAGTTTTGTGCTTTACTTTGGTATTTAGAAGCCTTCTTGAGTTGTCTCCTTTAGTGCTTATTTGAATTAAGCACTTAAAGGCTTAAGACACTCAAGAATACAAGAAGGAACTAACATTCTAAGTACCTTAGTCTCGATGGTGGATACACATAGAGAAATCATAATCTTTGATTTTTGCTATCTTTATCAACACCCCAAAACCAAGTGGGTTCAAAGGCTTCAAAGGTTATCATTCTAAACACTCTTTGGTTGTGTTTTTTAATTCATTCTAACCTCTATAAATGGATCATTGTTGGTTTGGTTTTGTTTTAAACTAAAAATAAACTTGTTATATTTAAAGTCTTCCATTGCGGTTTTTGTGATAAATAAACTTATATTTTGTATCAAAACCCATCAGTTGGGCGACTTCTAATTCTCGATCCCAAAATAGAGCTTTGTTATATAGACGTTGATTTAAATAATATAAAAGTTTTACATAGATGTAGCGTGTTAACTAGCAACAAGCTATGCCGCAACCCCTTTTTGGATGGAAAATCAAGAACAATCAGGAATCATCATCAGGTAAGCATCCTTCTTTCTTCTGTTGATGTCATCCTCAAACAAGTGTTACGCAAGTGTTCCTTAATTCAAATTGGCGTATTTATTTTCCGTTGGTTTTGGTTCTTGTTGACTTCACTTAATATCTATCTCTATGATCATCAAAACCGATTTGAGTATCTTGAATTTTGGATTGGCCTGCGGACTTGTTTTACTGATTTCGTATGATTTTTCTGAAAATAATTCCTTTCTTAGCTTTTTAATTTATCATCGTTGATCTTGAACGTCGAAGGGTGTTTTAAGAGCATCACCATATCGTCGCTTTTGTTTTCAATCTTATATGATTCAACCAAATACCTTGAGTGCTAACCGACTTAATTATGTTGTTTCGATTGAAGTTTACAGAGAAATGCATCTTCTTAATGTTTTTATTCTGGAAATGGCTAATTTTCAATTACTTGATTTACTTATGTTAACTAATGATAAAATCTACAGTCGGATACAATCTTGAAATCGTCCTAAAATTGGGTATAGAGTGATTATCATATTGGACTAAATTTTGGCATTTGTTGATCATACAAATCTGGTGTTGAGAGAAATTGGTGTTATGTTTGTTTGGTTAAAATCGATGAATCAGAAACTTCAAACGTATTGATAAAATTATTTAGCTCCTAGAAAAGGCCTCCAAAAAGCTTTTCTATCGATGAAAATTATGATATATGTTTTATTAAATAAAATTGGTGGAAAAACTAAGTGATATTTGTAAAAGTTAAATATTGTTAATGAACTAAAATGAGTGATTAAAATAAAATAATTATACATACTAGAGTAAGTTAAATGAATCGTACCTCGTCTAGATACTAAAATATACGTTCAGTCTTTATTTTTAAAAATTAACTCGGACCATTCTTGTTTGGTTTAAACATGCACGCTTCATCCATTGTTAGTTTAAATCTGCATAATTCATCATTTTCCTAACATAAAATGATTATATTGCCCTTATTATTTTATTTTGTATTTATAAGAAAAACAAAAATGAATTTCACCCCTTTATTTTCACATTTATTAATATTTTTTAAGCAACTAAATCTACCAACCCAACCCCATTTACCTAGAAATACCCTAACTCCTCATTCCTAACTCTTCATCATCCCTCACCTCCCCTTGAAATCAAAATACGGCCATCGGAGATACAACCACCACCGGAAACCCTCTTGACCGTCACCACTGACCACTACCACCTCTTTTCCTTTCCCTTGTTCACGTCGGAAATATCATCACCACCGGAAATGTGGACCACCGTCAAAAATGGCATCACCAATGTTGGTTTCTCTCACTCTAATCTCCCCTGATCTTTGCCTTAAACCATATTGTCGTGTGTATCAGCAACAAATATGTTCTTCCTTGTTCTTCTTTCCAACAATCCTTAAGCGTATGGACTTAACCATCTCTCTCTCTCTCTCTCTCCACCGTTTTCTTTTTGTTAACAACACCACACCCTCATATATTTGGGTTCGAGTTTTAGAGATGGTAGTCGTAGTTGTGGAGATTGATGGTGATTATTGGTTCCAGTTTCCGATCCAATCTGAATCTAATTCTTCTTCGATTTGAATATGCTTCTTCTCCGATCTAAATTTCCTTCTACTCATGTCTCTTTCTCTTTAGTAACCCTACTCCAACGTCCTATGGGTTTGAATTCCATATCTGAATGGGTTCACGATTTAAGAAGTGTTTGAGTTTCAAATTTGAACATAGATTTTGGGGTTTGAATTTTGATATTTAATAATCAGATTTAGCGTTCATCAATGGTGGTGGTGGACATTGATGGTGAATGTTGGTGCTTTTAGAGGGTTAAGAGGAGAAGAAAAAAAAATATTTTCTAATAAATTAAAAAGAGAGATGGAGAGAGGGTCTGTTTTATTTTTTGAAACTTATCATTAATAAATAATAATAGATAAATTATTACAAATAAAAAAATGAAATATGAAATTCATAAAAGATATATAGTCATTTCATATTGATAGGTGCTAAGTATGCAAGAAAAAACTAACTTCGACACGGTCCATTAATTTTAAAAATAAGAATTAAACTTGCGTTATGACACATACGTGTAATTTACCCTAGATACTATTACTTACTTTGCGTTATGATATATGGGATATATATAGTAAAGTCCCAATATTTTCATCGATTTGACAAGAAAGTCCTAAACTTTATTTTTTTTACAGTAAAGTCGAAATTACCGGCAGTTTTTGACACTTTTACCATTTTTCCCTGTTAGCCGGTAATTAGGACTTTTTTGTCAAAAAAAATAAAGTTTAGGACTTTCTTGTCAAATCGTCAATTAGGACTTTACTGTCAAAAAAATAAAGTTTAGGACTTTCTTGTCAAATCGTTAAAAATATTGGGACTTTAGTGTATATATAATTTTTTTTGGTTAGAAATTTAATGGTATGATACTCTTTAAGCATAAGAGTTATTGAAACCTTCTCTAATCAGCTAGATCCTATTGAAATTCTTAACGTTTGCTTCTTGTTAAATCGTTTTTTTAATCTCAACAAACCGACATTGAAAAAAATTGAGATAATCAAGAAAGAAAGAAAGAAAGAACCAGGGTTGTATTGCTTTTTGCAGTCCCAAAAATAGAGAAATAAGAAACCGAAAAAAACGAAGTTGCCCTTCTTTCCCTTCTCCACATTCACACCCTTTTGACTAGGCATGTGTTGTTTGTGTTTGTATAAAGCCAGGGCAATTTCGTTTTTTTCGGTTTCTTATTTCTCCATTTTTGGGACTGCAAAAAGCCAACACAACCCTGGTTCTTTCTTTCTTTATTGATTATCTCCATTTTTTTCAATGTCGGTTTGTTGAGATTAAAAAAACGATTTAACAATAAACAAATGTTAAGGATTTCAATAGGATCTAGCTGACTAGAGAAGGTTTTAATAACTCTTATGTTTAAAGAGTATCATACCATTAAATTTCTAACAAAAAAAAAGATATATACACTAAAGTCCTAATACTTTCAACGATTTGACAAGAAAGTCCTAAACTTTATTTTTTTGACAATAAAGTCCTAACTGACAATTTGACAAGAAAGTCTTAAACTTTATTTTTTTGACAAAAAAGTCCTAACTACCGGCTAACCGAAAAAAAAGGGTAAAAGTGTTAAAAAATGCCGTTAATTTGGACTTTACTGTCAAAAAAATAAAGTTTAGGACTTTCTTGTCAAATCGATGAAAATATTGGGACTTTAGTGTATATATCCCTATGATATATACGTGTAATTTACCCTATATAGTATTACTTACCGATATCGTTCCTTCATTTATTTTGAAAGATTCTACTCATTTTTTTTCATTTTTTTTTTTATTTTTCTAGTCAACCGTTAAATTCCTTGCCCAACTTCTACTCCAGCGACCAAGAGTCAACTTTCTGCGCAACGACTTAAAGTCAAGACGAAGTTTCTCGCCCATGTTGTACTCCAAATAACAAGAAGCTTAACTGTAGTAATTCATACGTGATATACTGATATGTGTATATAGTATATATAGTTCATACATTCATATTCATGAATCACAACTCAACAGTATTCTCTTACTCATGGCCTCATCAATCTTTCTTGCATCTCCAATCCTTGTAGTGATACTATTTCACTTACTTTTAGAAAACGGTCCCACATCATGTTTTGCAACAAACCCAACCGGAAAACCACCACCCGACCTTCGACTCACCCTAACTCGTGTCGATGTAGCTAAAAGTTTCCCCAAAAACCAATTTGCTCCAAGCTCTATGAGTGAGGCTAATGCAGCAGAAATAACATCCCCAACACAAGCATCCAACGACCTGTACGTTACAAAGCTAGCCATCGGGACTCCACCAGTGATCTTTTCAGCCGTAGTGGACACGGGAAGCGACCTGATATGGACCAAGTGTGATTCTTCTTCACGTTTTTATGACTCGAGTAAGTCTAAATCCTTCTTTAAAAGTAAAGAAAGTTGCGATAGTTTTGGGTGCACCCAGGAATACGCTGATGGCGAGTCCATAAAAGTAAGTATGGGGGGAGAAAAGCTAACCATTGGAGGCGTGAGTCGTGGTAATATAACCTTTGCATGTGGAACACCAAACGATAAAAAAAGTTTCAATAAGTATAATGGAGTAGTAGGAATGGGTCGTGGGAAGTTGTCGTTGGTTTCACAATTAAACATAAATGTCTTCTCATATTGTCTGGCTTCTCGGTCTCACAAGTCAGAACAAAGCATTTTGTTAACAGGGTCCAACACAAAGACTGCCATGAGAAATGTCCAAACTACCCCTTTGCTCAAACAAGAGGACAAGTCATATTACTACATCACTCTTGAAGGTATCTCGGTTGGCCAAACCAAATTGCCTATCAGCACATCTGACTTTGCGATAAAAACAGATGGAACGGGTGGGATGATCATAGACTCAGGTTCGACATTCACTTACTTAGAGAAAGATATTATTAACATGATTGAAAATGAGTTAATGAAGCAAACAAAGCTCAATATGTCAAAGGATGACAATCCGCCATACCAGGGTCTTAATCGATATTTCAACTCTCCGCGTGATGTCAAGATCATACCCAAGTTGGTGTTTCATTTTAGTGGTGCGAATTGGGATATGCCAAGAGAGAATTACATCTATGTAAAGAATGGTAAGTCGTATTTGGCGTTTATAGATAACGACAATGATCCGGAGAAAATGTCTATATTTGGAAACATGCAACAACAGAACATGATGGTGCTTTACGATCTTGTGAAGAACAGTTTGTCATTTAAGCCTGAAAAATGCAGCCAACTTTGACTTTTGTATCTTGTTATTTTTCCCAATTTCAATAAAGAAGTTGAATTTTATGTTATTTTTCCGCTTATTATTTCGAAACAAATATTCTGATTCATGACGAACAAATAATTATGCTAACGATTCTACGAAGCATGTCAACGATCCTAGGAAGCGTGTTAAATATCTCTTAGTACCTTTCTAGCTAGGCATACAACATGTTCCTTTTAAAGGACGGTGCTATATTTAGTTCGACAAAATATTTCAATATTGGCGAGAATGATTAGGGTCCGAAGTGACCTAATATTTGGTAACTAAACCAATTGATAAACAATATGTTGTCGATATATCACAAATATATCACTATTGGATGTGAATAATCATTATTTATCTCCACTTCTTTCTAACACGTACCCATTATCAATTAACAAAACATTTTTAGTTATCATCATACAACGAATGAGAACGCAGACGGGCAACAAGTTGTGCCGCTAAGCCCTTTTGTATGATAAAACCAATTCTTTACTAATATGAATGGTGATCTGATGGAGATATATATGTCCACCTACACAATAAGTTACAATAAGTTAGTGATATAATTAATAAATAATTGAGCCTATTAGGTAAACTCAAAAGTAAGAAATAAATAAACTGATTTGATATTTATTAATTTTTTTTGGAAAGGAAACTTCTCTAACGAGGGTTTTTAGGCCAGCTTTCGCGGCATCGACTAATCCCCGTTGTGAACTTGAAATTTGTTATTTATTAATTAATAATGAACTAACTAGAAATCATGGAGAATAACTTTTATGCAATAAACACAAGAAATTTGAAATAGAGCATTGTTGTCATAGTTAAGAAATTTGGAAACAAAGAATGCCCATATGGTTTATACCTTATATAAGACATGGAAAACCAAAGAAGCTCCCTAGTGAAGCCCTAAGTCGATCCTATCATCCCTCCTCCCTCTTGTTGGTGGCTCAACCTCACTCGGCCAAGGGACCATCGAGGTTTGCTTAGACGCCAAGGAAGAAAGTCTTGCTTCTTTGAAAGGGTGCGACTACTATAGAGAAATCATAGTTTGGGTTCTTGTGATTCTTTTTTACTACAAATTATCTATTTTCTTGTAGTGTAATATATAATTGCATAAAGTTTAATAAACATGGATCCTGTCACATTATGATATTTTGTTTAATTTCCTTTTATTGTTTATGTTTTGATCTAATTTTGTTATAAGTATCATAACCCAACAATGGTATCAAGGTAATACGTTTTTTCTTTCCCGCTTAAATTGATTTGGTCATAAAGAAATATAGATATGGTATTATTTTGTACACATAAATAGAAAAATTATATATATAAAATATACAAATCAAACTTTTTTAAACAAAAAATTTTAATTTTTTGTTTATATATATATTATATATATATATATATATATATATATATATATATATATATATATATATATATCTATATCTATATATATGGTATTTTGATGTTTGGATTAACCATGTGTGTAGAATTTCTCAAGTTAGAACTATATATATATATATATATATATATATATATCTATATATATATATATATATATATATAACGTTGGAAAAATCACTACAATAAAAATGTGTCAAAGACTAGCAAATTATTTCTTGAAAGGTCAACAATTAGTCCCTTCATCAAGGACTGATTTAGATGACTCTAGTCTCAGTAGTTTTAGTTAGCGGTTTTTATGTTATCTACAACTTTAAATCAATCCCTAATAAATGAAAGTCACAAATATAGAAAATCGGTCTTTGATACTTTCCCATTCGGTCTCTGATATATTTTCTGAGAATCCTTGAATTGAGATCGTATTATGTATAGTACCTGATACTATCATTTTGGAACTGAATATATACTATCTTTCATTAAGATCCCGTATTTGTGTTATATCGGTCCTTGATACCATCTTTTCATGACTGAATACCTGTCATTAATATGATCTTATTATGACTCTAATCTCCAATGTGATACCTTGGTTTCCTATTTTATATCTCATCGGTTTGATATTGTCTTTCAGAGACTAGACTGAACATCCGTCGTTAATAAAATCAATATGTTTACATTGTGTCCCCATTTTTAGGTCATCAATCCTTAATATTATTTTTAATGACTAGATATCAGTCTCATATACAATAACTTGATTATCTTAGTGATTGAGTATGTTTTTTAGGGACTGATTAACACTCATTAATACCATTGCTTTTAGCCTCTAATATGTTTTTACTAGAACTAATATTTAGTTCTGATACAAATATTAAGTAGCAATAACCAGTTGTAAATGATACATTGTGAATCTAGATTTGAGCCCCAAACTAGCTTTTATAGGGGCTAAAATATGGAGCGGATTTCTTGTAAATGCAAGAAATGAACAACCAATAATAAATAAATGTACAGTGGTCGAATGGTTATGACTATGATTCTTGCTTCCATGTATTTGTTATGATTCTAAAAACATGTGTGCTTTGGGATCATAGTTTTTTTTCATATTTTCTTCACCTTGTTTAACTTTCATATTTTAATCAATCCAAGACAAATAATGCGACAAGAAAAAGTGAGCAAAAACTTATTCGGGAAAGAATATAAGTCAAGTAGAATTATGTAACTAAGAAAAATCATGAATCAATACAAATAGTCGAAAAATGTTACCAAAACCCTACTTTGTGGGCCAAAACAAAAACTTTAAAAGGGTAAAATGATTATTTAGGAAAATATTTACAAAATATATTAATTCAACAAAACAAAAAATAAAAGGCGATGTCATTCAACATGTTGTCAAAAAGTATGATAAGATATACAAACTCTTATCAACCAAAATTCTAGGAAAGTATCATATGGTGACATCTTCAGGGTAACTTCCTAGCACACTCAAGAAAGTAGCAAATTCCTGCCAAAAAGAGCAACATTTTGAGATCAATAATTCATGGCGTTTAACAAGTGAAGTCATAATTATTATGTTAAATTCAAAAATTAAAAATAAAAAATGAAACCTTAAGATGCGAAAGAGCATTTTGGGCTCTTTGGTCTGCCATGGATGCTTGGAAGTCAACATAGAAAAGGTAAGGGAAAGACCTATATAAGAATTTTAATTTGGAGTTAATACCAATAAAATATAAGTTGAAAAAAAAAATAGTAAAACAATACAAAAGAGTCGACTAAAAAAAAACAAAAATAGCATATACACAACAGGACGAAACAAATTGTACTGTGTTTGACATGTATTGGATTCAGACTGATGTCTCAATAGGACAAAAAATATGGATTCAGACTGATGTCTCAATAGTGATTTTTTGTCCCACCCAAAAATGTGAAACAAGATGGGAAAGAGACTCAACTCTCGATCTCTTGTCTCTGCAAAAAGACGAAAATGTCCTCTTCGTCATCATCATCGAAAATAGCCTTAGAAAGCTTATCTAGCCCTGTCCAGTTATGTCCCATCCCATGTGACACATGGGATAGAGCATGATATGACTGCACGAGACTGGATAAGCTTTTTAGAGCTATTTTCGATGATGATGATGACGAAGAGGGCATTTTCGTCTTTTTGCAAAGACAAGAGATCGTGAGTTGAGTCTCTTTCCCATCTTGTTTCACATTTTTGGATATTTGTCCTATTGAGATTTGAGACATCAGTCTGAATCCAATACATGTCAAACACAGTATCCAGACTGTCTTGTCATACATAATACATACCCAGGGAATCCATTAGTGCTTTCATTATGTGTAGGTAAAGCGCGTCTTTGAAGAGGACGGCTTTCAATCTGTTTTAAAGTAAATTAAATTTTGAAAAATCAGTTACATTTTATAATATAAAGAAAAATTAAAAACATGAGTGATAAAAAAAAATAAAAAATAAAAAAAAATAAAAAAAAAAAAAAAAAAAAACTTGCCTTAGTGAGATTAATTTGTCTCATAGCAAACACTGCAAGTGCCTTGAAAAGCATCCCAGGACCCTCGTCAAGTGAGAAGACAATACTTGTCTAAAACAATAAATTTATATATTTACATGTGACTAAATACAAAATAAAATAAATAAAACAATACTAAGGACCTGTTTCTTTTTTCTTTTTCTTTTTTTATAAAAACAAACCTTGAATGGTCTATCGGTACGTGGAATTATAGGTTCCCTTGCCAGCATTAAGAATCGAGTCACATTATCAGAATAATCCTGAAAAAAAAATTAAAAAAATAAAATCATACAAGTGTGATTTACAATTAACATATAATTTATAATCAATGAACATTTATGGTTTTGTTGACTTATCTATAATTAGACACCAAAATGAAATTATACTGACAAATAAACACAAAAATGTTATTTATACTAATATTTTTTTCGTTAATTTAAAATATAACACTAAAATACATTCCATAATACATATACAATATATTTATATATAGTTATCAGACAATCGAACAAAATTATTTTATTACTTTAAAAGAGTGTTTACTAAAATAAAAACTTTAACCATGAAATCTCAAATAAAATAAATGCTTTTTTACATCACATTTGGAAGATAACAAAAAATTATTTAATTAAACTTTCGAAAAATTCTAAGAACATTGCTCTTACTGAATGTTATGTAAATAGAATTAAATTTATAACTGTACTATAAATATAATAATATTCCATTCCATGAAGAAATGAAAAATCAGCCAAGGAATCACATTCCGTTGAGGAATGGAATGCTTCATTCCATTCCTGTGTAATGCTCAATTCCATTCCAGGTTTGATGATTACCTGAATATCTTGAACAAGCAAATTCAATCCATAAATTTTGGCAGCAGCAGCACTAGCTACTGCCCCAGTATCTTCAAGTTCATGTAGAGCAACATGCTGACAAAGAAAGAAGGAAGACATTAAATAAAATATTAGTAAATAATTATTCAACTATAATTTATCATGAAGATTCTATAAAAAAAAAACCTACAGAAAGCATTAAAACATGTCCACATGTATTTACACTTACATAATTTATATA